ATGTCAATGTTGTGGATTTTATTATCTTTGTTGATCATATCACTTTAACTGTGTTTTGTAATACTAGAGTCTTTTAATAATGTGTTGTTCTTTCATGCAGCTATTGCCTAATTCCATCTGAAACATGCAATTTTGCAACATTTCTCAACATTTACAGAGTACTTGTGTGATGGGAAGAGAGTGAAATTTACAACCAGTTAACCAATATCCGGCTAAATTAAGATTTAAAGTTTTCCAGTCAAAGGTCACAATCAGACAAAAAAGCTCTGTGCTTGCTTTACTAAAATGAATGGGCAGTGTGCTTTTTAAAAAATAATTTTGTGTTTAGCAACTACAGTAATACTACAGCCAGCACTATGCAGTGAGTTACAATGGATATATTTTGTAATGAGGCAACTATATATAGTACCATTATCAGATCAAGCTGACTCTATTTCATTGGATATTGCTAAATATTCCTCTGCTGTTTGTACAACACACTGGAATCTAGCTTTAAGTAGCTCTTAAATATACCTTGTTGATTCTGTTAACCTCTAATTTTAGACGCAATTTTTTATAATTGTCTATATCTGGGAATTGTGTCTATATATACTTTTATTGTCCTGTAATATCTTCCATATATTTAGGAACTATATTTTTTACAAGGAATTCATTTATGTTGGTTTGTAAGTGTAATACATTCTTATCTCATCTTATCTATAAATAGTACCTGAGTTTTTGTGAACTTTCCTGTACTGCTAAACAATATGTTAAAAGCTATCATCAGTTTGATATATAGTTACTAAATAGACAAAGAAAGAGCCAGTTTGGTGTAGCCAGTTCCAGTGCTGGACTGGAAACTGGGAGACTGTGTTCTAGTCCTCCCTTAGGTACAGAAACTGGCTGGGTGACTTTGGGCGGATCACTGTCTCTCAGTCCTAGACTGGGGAGACAAAACATCTATCTACTAACCCCACAGGACCAGCATGGTAGATTATGGTCCATAACCTTTAATGAAGAGACCTTCAGCCTGCAGTGGATTGATGCCAACAGATAGTAAAAGGAAAAGAAATAGTGCAGTGGATTGATTCCGGCTGATAGCAATTAGAAAAAAAAAAAGTGGGGAATATATGTAGTTCAGGGTTGAATTGTTGCATTCTTGCTTTTTCTGAGATTACTTTTCTTCTTGCAGATGTTTCATTGCCAGGCTAGGTAATACCAAGAATCCAACAGAGAAAGAAATGTCAGATCTTAATCTAAGTGATGCACTCTAGAAACATTTATTTGGAACAGGGATATAAAAATTTGTCATGGATCTTGCTGGGAGTGGATTTAGGACAAATATTAACAAGCGTGTCAGGCTAGCACCTGCCATTCTCCTCAGAAAAAATACCCCACTGCTGCTAAAGAGAATTGCCCTGCTGGATAGCTTACAATATTTTCAGTGGGATGTAAAACCTTGCTCTGCTCTGAAATGAAACTGTGAATTTGGACATCAAATCTCCTACTACTGAAATTTACTAAGCAAAGTGGGCTGTAAAATGGATTAGGTTTTCATTATTTATTTTATTTATATTTCAAATTTAGTCACCACCCATCTTACTCAAGGAGCAACTCTGCAGATCCCTAACCTGGAAGTTTCCACACAGGTCTCTGTTAAAACCTTTTTACATTTAGAGGAAGTATAAAGAAACTTCTTGCCTTTGCACCAAATAATGGCTCCTAGAACTTGCAGGCTCTAGATTTTCTCAAGGCTGTGTCCCTTTTCCTCAAGATACTCTGTGTATCTTCATTCTACACCCTGTTACTGCTCTGATTTGGGAGCTATTGATGTTATTTACTCCCTTGTGCTCTAACTCCTAATACCAAGGCTGATGGGGCAATCTTGCAAATCTTGTGGAACAGATGGTCTGGATTTGTTTTTAAAAGGTTGTTTAGATATCACTGTTCATTTTCTGCTACTTATGCATAATTCATTGAACTATAACTTTTTGTATGTTAATGATTAAGAGCCTCTCAAACAACCTAATTGAGCTATGTTGATTGGATTTTTATTTCAAAAATAAAACTAAAAAACCCAGTCACATGCTATTTTCTGTTAACTCAGTTGACTGAGACACTCCAACCTGAAACAAGTGTTTTGGAAATTGATTCCACCTAACTGGAAAGAATTAGAAATAATATCTGAATAACTCTGTTTAGAATCAATTGCACCACTTTCATAGGTACACTGGAAGTTTGACATTTGCAGAATTGGTTCATCTAGCTTAGTGCTGTTGACAGTGACTGACCACTGATTTCCAGAGTTCAGCCAGGACATTTTCCAGCTTTCCTTGAAGATGTATGCCAGGGATTGAACCTTGGCCTTCTGCTTGCAAACACGTCCTCTACTAGTATCTTCATCTCTTTTCCAACTGGATTTTGGATTTTTTTTCTCCTAGACCAACATAGTTATCTTAGATTTTAAACAGCTCCTTTCTGCAGTATGTATATATCTTACACCATAGTCCAGTGTTTCTCAACCTTGGCAACTTTAAGATGTGTGGACTTCAACTCCCAGAA